GGATTTCCCAGTTTTACCCAGTATTCACAATAAAACTAATAGGACAAAAAATACTAACAAAAGATTTGATTACGAATTATAACAAAAAGTAAACCTAAAGGAATGAAACAACTATTAGTAATTTCAAATGTAAAACAAAAGATAAAATAGCTCCTACAACCACTGAATTGCAAAAAGCTCCCACTTTACCAACCACAGGGCAGAAACGACAAGCTAAAAATGTCTTAAGACTTTCAAGTTTTTCCTGTACACTCGGCATGTTAATGGATCGGTTTTTCAGTCCACCCTAAAATGCTGGAATGCTTCATTTGTTGTAAACACCTTCACTTTGTTAACATCACTATAGAATATTAGCATGACGACATTCAAGTGACCGGCTGAAACGATCTGAAACAATGAGACGCTATCACTCTACGGCTATTTAAATGAAGATTTTCAGAGAGAATGCTCTGAAACAGTCAGCATTTAAAATGAGGAGTTGCAATGAAAAAGTGACCAGATGTGTTCAAGTTTGAAAATGTATTTTCTTAAATAGAAAAGTTTATAAAGATGTTCAATTTGACCCCTAAAGCAAAATTTGAACTACATGGAACTTTGAGTGTTTCCCTTATTGTTTAATTCATTTAACTTGACGCTATAGAGTTGCAATGACTTAAGTTGAAATAAAAAGTAGCCTAGTTTTCCAAAATAAGGGAACTGAAAATAAATCTTATGTCTTCCTATTTCTTCAAAATTCTTTATAAAATGAATGTCCATCCTTGATTTGTCCAAAGCTAGCATAACGGTAAAATAGTATGTTTACAAGTTGTGGACCAATCAGAATATGTTGCTCTTAAGTTATAACCTCTGTTATGTTCGTTTCTGAGGAACAGCAATAATGTTCCCGGGTCAATTTGACCCGGGGCATGTTTAAACATGCTATAGTGTCAGAAACTAAAAAAAAAAAAAAATCCCCCAAAACATTTTTATATCTGATTACTAACTTCATTACTAACAATTTCAATCAATATTTGTGAATTGTTTGTTAATTTCAGATAAAGGATCAATGAGGACAATTCACTCGTTTTCCTAAAAAAAAAACGTTACTTTTTTATGTCCAGTATATTTTATATATGTCATTATAATTGAACTTAGACACCTATTCTTTTCTGGGTCAAATTGACCCGCTAATTAAAAACCAAGACAAATGAGTCATGAAGATTTATATTGAAAATAAACTTTATTATCTAAATGAGCAGCAACCTCTGACCACAAACCTTCATCCACTGTGACATTAGGGCCTAAAGCAGTGGAAGTTGCTCAACTCACTTGTGCCACATTGTCCCAATATCTGCCAGCGTATGTGTGTGTGTGTGTGTGTGTGTGTGTGTGTGTGTGTGTGAGAGGTGAAACATGTCTCACAGTTGCAAAAAAAACTAATTGTATTGCACACTTTTACCCTTTTTACGCTTCATTTGGGGGGGGGGGGTCTGCAAAATGTAAAATGAACTATTTTCATTTTATATGAAAATTATACTTTTATATGTAAATTATACCAATTGAGACAAATAGAAAAAGTTTCATGCAGAAAAAATACTTTAAACTATTTTTAATTTTTTTAACTTTAAAACAGGTCAATTTGACTCGCACCATAACAGGAGGGTTAAGTTGTTTTAAGTTGTATAATTAATTAAGTTATATAATATTTATTATAATCAGTCACGTTTTCAAAAAGAAAACCAAGAAAAACCTACACCATGGACAGGCTGCCAGCCCACCGCAGAGCCACAGAGACAACCATTCTCACTATCACCTTGTAATTGCGTGTTCAAATCACGTCGGGGTCACCAAAAACTGTAAGAAATATTTGCGTTCAAAGACTGAAGTCATTAGAAAACCACCAATGTTAAATAATATGATTGTTAGACGAAATAAAACCATACAAAACCAGAATTCTGGAGTGAGGATTTAATGCCATTCGGATCTGACAGGAAACCACACACTGCCGGTCAACCCGGAAGTCGATCCATTTATACAGGGTCTTCAATGCCCGTGTTCGCCCCCTGCTGACCTACGGCTGAATCACAGGCATTCATACACAATTCTCCCCTGATGTTTTCATAAAGGATAAATATGTGTTGTTATAGATATTTTGGACATGTAACTAATCTATATCAATCAACACATTATAGATTAACCATTATGAAAAGGAAAACCTAAAAATATAGGGTTGTGCTTTTAACATCAGTACTAATCTGTAATAACTACAAACTTCTTCAACCTTGTGACAATTTAGAGTAGGATTAACCTGATATGCATATGTCTAGACAAAGCAGCAGTAAAAATCCACACAAAACCATGTAAACTGTAAACAGAAAGGCCCCCAGATGGGAGTTGAATCTGTGACCTTCTTGCTTTAGGTTCTTCACAACTCAGAGAAGCTGCAGACGAAGGGGAGCTGTTTCAAAGGTAAACTCCAGCTGCATTTCTTCCTCTTGATTTGTTCTCACCATCAGTGTTTTGAACACAGAAAAGAAATTTATCTAAAGTGCAAAAAGAACCATGCTCCATTCGGTCCCAGATACACATCTTCAGCTGCACTTTCCTGACCTCCGTGGTAATGAAGTTTATTATTTGTCTTAGTCATCTCGTAATGACACACTGCCATTATGTGAGTAACGTGTGTGAGTGAGGTTGGCCGGTGGACCGTTCTTGAGCTCTTTTAATGAAAGATAAGTGGCAAAACTTTAGATCCTCTTATTATATTTTAACCAAAGAAGCCGTGTACGTAAGCTGTAACACTGGCGAGGTGAGGCAAGTGAGAGCTCGTTGTGCAACTCCTTCACACACAAGCTCTAACAAGCGTGTTCAGCTGAGTTCTCCCCGTCGAAGTTTCCTTGTGAGATGTCATTATACGATAAAGAGGAAGCCATCAGGAAACCGCTTAAGCACTACTTCCTGTCTGTTGCTATGGCGACTACCTCATTTCTGCAGTTGCAGATTTCCTCACAACTTTACTTGAGTTAATCTGTTACAGATGCGCTGAGGGGGAGGCAAAACAAAGAGGCAGGTGTGTCGGGGTCTCTGTGGTAGGTCGGTGGGCCGTGCGGACACTCCTCTCTGTCCACATGGGTCAGAGAGCGCCATGTAACCCCAAACATCTGACAGCAATCAACATTTGAATGCTGAATGGATCCAGCAGCGCTAAAGCTAGTCAGCATTCAGACGAAGTATATAAATAAATATCTAAAGCAGGGAACACTTCCTGATTTTACCAGAAGTGTTAAAATCACCAGATTCAGGTTTGGGAACTTGAGGTCCTTTCGCTGCTGTATATAACAGGCTCAAGTTATTATCTTTTTTTTTAACCCCCGCCAAGGGCGAGGTAATGTCTTCGGTTGCGTATGTCTGTCTGTCAGTCTGTCTTTTGACAACATTGCTCAAAAACTTGTGGACGGATTGTCATGACATTTTTAACACCTGTGTGTACTGGGCCAAGGAACACACCTTAAAATTTTGATGATGTTCCGGATGACGATGCGGATACAGGAATTTTTTTCTTTTAACACTCTGAGATCGGCAAAGCTGTGATGCTTTCACAGGGCTTCTGTAAAAAAAACCAGTGAGCTGGATTGGACAGCATGGACTTCAAACTTTATAAAAGTAATGTTAAAACCAGATTTAATGATGAATAATTCTTGCCATAATATGCGCATTTACAGAATGTTTTGTGACCAGGAAGTGCATGACTGCACCATGAAACATATTTTTCCCATTTCCTCAAACACACCACATTTCCGAAACAACCAATCAAAACAGTTTCTCTCTACTAGGCTTGTAAACAGAGAGCTGCCGGGCCTCAAAGTTTGGAGACGGGGGGAGCCAGGAAGCACTTTATAAAGAGAGTCAAACCATTACAAACTCGTACAAGGGGATAAAACAGACGTTTTACATGGTGAAATGTGACTGATGAAAACTTAGGAGCTTAATCTGACACCAGTTTGACAATGCATAACGTCTTGTGACGAGTCTGACTTTTTTTCACATTGGACTCCACCAAGAAAAAATCCCGTGCATACTGCCTGCTTAAATGTTCGCTACATCAGAACTTATTCGGCAAATGTGTTTCCATCTCTGCTTTTGCGCATTAACTCTTACAGGATGGGGGAAATTGGTCTTGGCGGATGTTTGCACTCTCCGAGTGCTTCTAGTTTTTTTACATTCAGATAAGAATGACATAGCAAAACCTCATTCATAAAAGTTGAATCTAGAATTGTGAAATTTATGTACCTTAAAAAAAAGTTACACAATTTACAAACAACTCTACAGTATATGACAATGATTTTTTTAACAAATTAAAATAGTTTTTACAAAAAAAACTGAGGCAGTTGAGCATTTACGTGTCAGTAAGACTCGTGACCTCTCTGTTTTGATTCTGCCTCGGACAAGAGACACATGGGCCGATGGACAACAGCACTGACAGGAGCCACATTCCTGCAAAGGTGTGCACACAATGAGGGGTTAAGCCGCTCCCCTTTCAGCAGGCTGCATTGCAGGATTATTGCTAAATTCTTCCTGAGGTTTCCACTTGTCAGAACAAGCAGAAGCACAACGTCAGCAGCCCTGCATTGGAGGGGAGGGAGACGGACGGATCCAGAAGAGAGTGACAAAGTTTGGTGAGAGAGCAAAGACAGAAATACGGGTTTTTGTTTTTTTTTTGGAAAGTTTGAATTTGAATATCAAAAAGGAAAACAAGTGATAGGGCAGCAAGAAAAAGAGAGGGAGAACGAGAGACATGCACACACTGAGGGGTGTGTCATAACAATTTAGTTCCTCAAGGAAGTAAAACTCAACATTATCTTAAGACAGGGTGGCGAGCACTGACAGAGGCACTTCAAGACGGCTGTTTCTCTCGTTTTCCTGACAAAGATGAAGGTATTTTGGTAAAGTGACCAGCCTGCGTTGCCAAGGTGATAGAAAGGGCAGAGGGAGAAAGACATCTGACACACTCAAGGAGGGAGGGGGACTCAGCAAACACTCAGGTAAGACACTTCAGCTGGGTTCACTCACTGGTTAAAAACTGCAAAACCAGAAATGTGTGTTTCTCTCATTATTTTGGGTTGTGGAAAGCAAAACTCTTGCTGCTGAAACCTAGCAGAGACAGGCAGAGTCAAAAGGATGACTGGAAACTGAGTGACTCCTATCCACTTCCCCATCTTGAGCACGAGTTGAAAGATACGTACGCTCAGAATCGTACCGCAACAAGTACAGTGACAGGCACATTCGAGGAGCTCGCATGTTTGTTTGTTTGTTTGTTTGTTTGCACAGGCAGGGAGTTGCTCGAGTGAAATCTCAAAGGACTCGGTGGACTTTCCCTCCTCTGCTGTACTTTGATTTGTTTCAGGTCAAGATAGTAAAAAGCTGCAATGTAACAGAAACAGGAGACCAGTACTCAGTCAAACTGCTTCGTTTCGCTTCCCTTTTAGGACAGATGTGTCAACAACTCGAAAAGTTGTGCAATGTCAAAAGAAAAAACTGCAACATTTGCTCATAAAAAACGTTCAAAATGCTCACTGAAAGGCTACATAAAGGAGGACAGTTTCATTCAAGGATGGCATTTGTCATGGTTTATTAAGATGTGTATATTTTACAAACTGTTAGAAAAAAAAAACAAATTTTGCGTAACATAAAAGCATGATACAAAAGTGAAAAACACGTTCTAAGACTACAGCCTAGTTAGCCAAAGGTTTAACGGAAGTGACGTTTAGTTCTGGTAAAATGCGGAGCTTTTTTGAAAGGCTGCTGAGTAATAACAAATATATTTTTATTGTTTCTTGTTTTGAAAACAAGGAGAAGTTTCCTGGTTTTTAAAGAAGATGCCATTCTATCGTCGAGATTCCACTTCCAGAGATTGCCTGCTAGATTTTTAGTTATCTGATTGAAAGGCACAACGTGTGCACTTTTTCAGGAAGGCTTTTAGTGTTTGAGCTGATCAAACACAGTGAGCCGCTAAAAGAATCTGTCTTTATGAGCAGCGATGGCAGTCTGTCCAAAGCACAATGAAGATGTCTTTACGTAAAAGACTACTTTCATTGACTAAATGAAATGAACCCAAAACTGCTGGAAGGGCAAAAACACTCAAATACATACAAACCTCTCTTTTTGTTTAGCTCACAATCGTCTGCATGCACAAACATCTAAAAACCAAATTTTACTTCAAAACGTACTTGCTTTACAAGTTCATACATGTGCACAGACACTCTCGCTCAAAGCTGTAGTCATCTGAGGAATGCTAAATATTTACCTCCGCTGCTCGCCCAGATGGCTCCACCATTCAGGATTCTATTTGACTGACTTTTAACCCGGCCTTCAACGGTCGCGCACAGCCTGGCTGTTAAAAGCATCTCTCGAGCACTTTTCAAATGTTCTCTGTGTTATCGTCTCAACTTTTAGTTGTTTTCCCTACGAAATTGCACGTACACTTTCTCATCATATTCACCAGGCCTTTGGGAGGAAAACAAACACTTGAACGTGTAATGGAGTCGCTCCCTGGTGGATGTCATCAACAAACTGATAAATACTCAAAGGCCCTCTTCTACCCGATTGTACCAACAAATTGATGCTCAACGCTGAACGACTAAATGGTGCCCATTACAGAAAAGTGGTTTCATGGCAATCGTCTGTCGTAACACTGAAATGTTTCAATAATCAGCATCGAACCCCCGCCCCCCACTTCCCGACAGTGAAGAACCAGAAAGAAAGAAAAAAAGACAAGAAGCAAGCAGCATCCTGCTGTGGGAGTTTCATTGTGTGGAAAACTGGCTGATGACTGCACACATACCCTTCAATTCCCCTTGGTCTTTTTAGCAAATAAAAAAGATTGAAATGTGAATCTGAAATAGCTATCACACTGCTCCTCTTTCATTATCACTGTTGAGGGAAATTAATCTAATGAACGTTCTTCATTCACCACAGAAAACCCAAAGCTTCAAAATGTGACACAGGTTCGTTATGAATGTGACCCACCAAAAATACCAGTATGGATGGTATTATTATTATTATTTATGATGAACTTTATGTTGGGATAAAAGAGCAGCAGTGAGTGTGGACTGTCTGCATGATACTGTAATAAATAAGTGCTTTTTGTAAATGGAATAACTCATCTTTTATTGTTAAACGGTGGATACATTAACCCACACTGCTGACTGTGCATCCCTAGCTAGACATCATTATCATTACTTAGATAATGCCATCAAAAAAATACACAAACATTGACAGGAGAAATACATTAAAGCAAGTGTCAGGAAGCCATTTGGCTGCCAGCTGGAGGACAACAAGCTGCTAACGCACAGGATGTTACAATAAGAGTAGCTAATGTTTGACTCACAGCTAGACTCAACCACAGTAATAAAAGGTAGCCATTGCGTACATGGTGCACACATTTTGTTCTTGTGCTAGCATTGATGCAATGAGGTAACAGCACGCACGGACCTGTCTCAGCTATGCAGAATACAAACTACTATAAAAATACAACCTGTCTGCACAGGCAAAAAGAATTGTTAGGGGAAAACTGCACTGAAAGATGTTGAGGCTCCCTTCTACACATACACATATAAAAAAAACAGAAAAAGTGACAGGAAGGAGCACTGTAGCACGGATGTTTGCTAAAGATAATGTGTCTCTGTTGATTTTGTTTTACTCATCACACGCAGCAGATTATGGTGAAGTAAAAACTAAGCTTTTTCATTTAAGATATGGCATAAACCTACCTTAGCATACGTATTCCACAGCAAAACCTACTCATTTCATCTACTGTAAGAGGGAGATTCATGTTCTTTATGTGATTTGTAGATAGACATTTTATTTTGTTCCAAATCCTTGTAAAACGAACATCAGATAAATAAGTTTTCCTTTACGAGTGATAGAAATTTATTGTTTCATTGTTCAAAAAAAACATATTTTACCCCAATTTCAAAATAAAAAATGTATTGGTTAAGATGAAAACCTGATATGTTGTGTCATAGTGTGCTGTATGCAAACTGATGACATCCCAGGGGAAGGGTGGGTTTTTTTTCTGTGATGGATGCTAGGTGAGGTTAAAATCTCAGTGGAGAAATACAAAGCCTCTGTTGCATGGCTTTTCTCCCTTTTGGCATCATTTGTACTTGCCATGTTAGACACAAAAACAAACAAAGACATGACACAGAAACAGTTTTAAAGTTAAATAGCATATTGTTCGTTTTACATCGTCTACTTTTATAAACAAGAAAATGTCAGCTTGAAATGTTTATCAAAGATACTGAACTTCAGCTACGATGTGTAAAAAGACATCAAAATCTATTATTATACACAATAAAATGAAACATATGTTTTAATCTCTTGATAATCAGGCAACCATGGATGTGTTCAGCTCCAAGGACATGGCCCTGAAGGCCCAGAAGAAGATCCTCAGCAGCATGGCCAACAGAAGCTCCGTGCAAATGTTCATAGACGACACCACTAGTGAGATTATGGATGAACTGTACCGGGTCTCCAAAGAGTACACAGGAAACAAAGCCGTGGCTCAGAAAGTCATCAAAAACATGATCAAGATCGCAGTCAAGATCGGCGTGCTGTACAGAAACCACCGTTTCTCTGAAGAGGAACTGAAAATAGCTCAAGACTTTAAGAAAAAGCTCCATCAAGGCGCAATGACGGCCATCAGCTTCTATGAGGTAAACTCCCACATATTAATTCAATAACACAGAGTATCTATAAAAAAGTATCCATATTTTTGGATGTCTTGTGTATTTATTGCATTCGTAAATCAATCATGGTTAAAATAAAATTGGCCTATTTGACAAAAAATGTCAAAGGGAAATCAAATTTCTAGAGTATTACCAATTAAATTTAAAAACCGTAATGTTACTTATGTGACTGCATAAAAATCCACCCCCTTTTTTCACTGTTCTCAACAAGTTCTTGTATAAATGGCTTCTCGACTCACCTGCTGAAGGCGTAGCTCCTTAACAGTGGTCATCTTGGTGATCTCTTTCATTATTCTCCTTTCTTGCAAGACCACCCAGTTTGAGAGGATGGTCTGCTTTTATAGATTTCAACACGTCCCGCGTTCCTTCCATTTTAAGGCGATGGATTTAACAGAAGTTCTGGAAACAGTTGGGGCCTTGGAAATCCTTTGGTATCCATCCTGACTTCGGCTTTACAAAAAATAAAAAATAAAAATCCTAAAGTTAAAAGAACAGCCACTTTCTGGGTGATGAATATTCATGCATTACATATTATTTAATTACTCTTTAGAAATTAAATTTAACATTAAGTACGTTTTTTAAAACTGGGGGTCAAAAGGCCAATTTAATTTGACCATGATTAATTTATGGCAGCAATAAAAGCATAAAACATCCAAGAGGTGAATACTTTTTATAGGCACTGTACGCGGGCTTATGCAATCCAGATAGTACAAATATGAACATATGATTACTAATACATTACAAAAGAGTGCAATTAAAAAATAGGGCTGGGGATGCTGGCAAGTGCAAAAACACAACATATTACAGGGTTCCTACAGTTTAAGGAAAGTTAAATTTAAGACTTTTTAAGACTTTTTAATGCCAAGTGAAATCAAATTTAAGACCAATTTCACAATTAACACAAATGAAAAAAATATTAAAACTGTCAGAAACTCATGAATTAAAGTATTTTTGGTTGAATTATTTAAATATTGCTAATAGACCAATTGTTTTTATCCATATCTAACTGCTATTTTGTCAAATATAGCTAAAAAAACCTTATCAGTCAGTTTTAAATTTAATTTAATTCCTTCAAATCCTGTAACGACCCAAAATTTGGGGTTTTAGGACCCACAGTGGGTTCTCAACCCCAGCTTGCTGTAGATGAAACCTCAAAGTGCCTGTGATGTAAAATGTTTGTTGCAAATATGAGGGCAATTTTGGAAAGACAGCATTATTAATTACAAAACAAATTTCACTTTGCTCAGATGGACAGATGTTGAGATATTTGCATGTGAAAAAACAGGAAGTGGTGTCAAAAGGGAATGTTTAAATGTGAATATTTCAAAAATAAATAAATGCTACCAATTATTTTAATATCCGATACGAATTACAGTCATTCTATTTACAATGTGTTAACATTTTTAAGACTTCTGAAAGATTGATTTAAGACATTTAAGGCTAATTAAGACCTTGGATTGATGAATTCAAGGCCTTTTAAGACTTTTTAAGGATCCGCAGGAACCCTGTATTAAAAATTTGTAAACGTGTATAAAAAAATTCATTGACTCGGGTGCATCTCACACAAAAATAGCCAACATCTTTTTAACATTAATGTATCTCCTGCCACAGGTGGACTTTACCTTCGACAAGGCGGTGATGTCAGAGCTCTTGAACAGCTGCAGGGACCTGTTGATAAATCTGGTCAACACCCACCTCACGGCGAAGTCGCACGATCGCATCAATCATGTCTTCAACCATTACTCAGACCCTCAGCTCCTCACCAAACTCTATGACCCCAATGGCCCCTTCAAACCCAACCTCACCAAAATCTGCACAGGACTCAACAAACTGATAGAGGATGGGACAATATGACGCACAAGTAAAACATCTGTTACAGACACTGGAAGATTACCGGGGAGACACACCTTAAGACTCTGGACTGTTGGATGAAATTAGTCTTACTGCTGCCGAGGAATAGTGACAAGTGATTTCAGAACAAATACGCCACCTCAAACAGTTCTGAAGGAGCATATGGGATGAAATTAAAGCAGGTGGAGTCATTTTATTTTAACTGTGCATTGGGGACACACCTGTAAAGTAACTGTATTCCCAAGAAAAAAATGGTTCATAGAAACCAAACTTGACTCATTCAGAATGGTGTCCAATGTTTTTTTTTTTTGTTTTGTTTTATCCCTTTAAATTTATTAGTCAGAGCTACTGATAATGTTTGTTATGGAGATGAGGCTTTGAACCTGCCAGACAGCCTTTACTAACAGAACAAAGGGGAAAATACCACTGCAAGACAACACTGCCATCTGCTGGTCAACAGGTGTTACTTCAACAATGGTTCACTGTGTTTACTGAGGTGCTGAGATGATGCAACAAACAGTTTAAAAAAAAGAACCACCTAATCATTACATAAATAAGTCTCCTTACCATTAGTCTGCCTGTTACAATACATCTGAAAAAATAAATTAAAAAAATCTACAGATTTATGACTAAATCTACAGATTTTTTTCCACTGGTTACTGTGAAAGCCTGCTGCGTAGTCTGTTTTTGAAAACTGGATGCAAGTCAGAATGTTAAAAATGAAAGCTATTTTTGGTACTGCAATACAAGATGCAAAATATAACAGAGGGAAAAACAAAACCTCACGTTCACTTGTAAATATTAAGCATTTTTGTAACCAATAAAATCAGAAAAAAACACCCTTAAAACAGAATCTTTCATTAATATTTAAACAAATTAAATGAGATTTTAAAAAATAAACAATAAAAAAATAGTGCCATAGATGTTATAAACACAAACACACACAAGCACAGATTTCTTTGTTTAAGATTTTACTTCAGCTTACATCACAGTGCTAGGTCTGGAGCCATTTTGTGCTTTTGTTTACAGTGAACATGATTATGCATTTCTTTTTTCAATCTGTAGATAAAATGGCAGACAGGATTCCACTTGTGTCTACCACATGAAGCCTTATGACTAAATCACAATGTGACTCAGCTTTTTTGTGACTCAACCTCTTACCGTACGTTTCAGTTTCAAGCTTATACAGTTAACTTTTATAGTCTAGTGTTTCTCCATATTTAAATAAAGCTATCATGTGCAGGATAAATTCTAAAAAAAAAAGACAATTTCTATTGTAAAGCCTGTATAAATGGCTTAGTGATAAAATGTTTTAATCTTATACAGCAGCATCGATAGAACAGATAGGTTCTTTTATTTTTTGTAACATCGTAGGTCTTGGAGTTCGATCCCTGCCACACGGCTGCCTGAGGAAGTTCACATAATGATCAGTGTGAAAAAGAAAACATGTCACAGTTCAAAGATTTCATCTTCCCTGTCTTTCAATTTGGTGAGCTTGGTGATAGTGAGGGGTACGGCTATGTGTCCGGCCGGCTGCTGAAATCTGGAAGATGAAACGACACTTTGCGATCTTGCGAGCGGCCGCTGACCCGATGTCTCACTGCAGCAAGCTGCTTCCAAGGCTGCAACCCTGGTAAGAGGAGGAAAAGAAAAAAAAGGTATGAAAAAATTGAGTGATTCTACCACTTTCAGCTTGGGGTACGTTCAGAAACGCTCTCAAAGTCGGCCTCTTGCTTTGACAGGGTGAGTAATGCTCAGAGCTCAGGCTCTAAATTACATTCCATGCAGCTTCAAGGCCAGAGAAAGGCTCTTTTTAACAGCAGCAAAAGAAAATTCTAGTAAGAATGAGGATGTCAGGAAGGTGTATTGAGTATTGTTTGGGAACCTACAAAAAAACACTTTGAGGAAAGCAAAATAGTTATAAAGCATCAAACTGAGGCCACAACATGAACCAATTTCTTCAATTTTAAATGAGTCACTGGAGCCCAATTCGTGAAAAATGTCTCTTTTTTTTGTGCTTTTCTAGGATGTTTGTGAGAATACTGTCTAACACAGGGCTATTCAACTGGTGACCCGTGTGCCACAGCCAACTTCCGTCCGGCCCACTAACGAGGCCAAAAAACAACGTTTTTTTAAAACATTTTTCTTGATACTGTAAATAAATGACCTGGGGTCTCATTTATAAAGGATTGCGTGGAAACCATACAAAAAGTGAACGTACGGCTAAAAGCCGGAAATGGCATACGCCAAAAAAAATTCAAATTTATAAAACCGTGCGTACGCATGTTTCTGMGCATCTTTCCTTTATAAATCACAGCCGCACGTCAGAGTTTGCGCACGAGGTCCCGCCTCAGGTTCTACCCTCTACACGCCCACATTCAACCATAAACAGTCAATGTAAAGTACCTCATGAATGTTAAGATGTATTTAAATCAGTCAGTTGATCAATGCCAACAAAAGTGATTGGTTCAGACACGCTCCGTCGTGTGTCTGGAGGTTGACAGGTGCTGACTGACAGCTGCTCACGTGAACTGAATGTCTGTAATTGACACAGATTTTCCCTCATTTTTCTTTAGAGTGATCTAACGATTTTTATAAAAAATAAAAATAAAAAACCTCAGCTTCAAATTAATTTTCCATCAGAGCCAGCAGGACAATAAAAACAATAAAAATTAAATTAAATAAGTCAGATAAAATTAGAAATAAGTCCCACGCTCTTCTCCTCGTCCTCTCCCCCTCCTGCCTGCTCTGTTATCCGCGGCAGACCCCCCCACGCGCACACACACACGCGCATGCGCGCGTGACAAACACGGACTTTAAACGTTTATTACATTCACACTGGCAAGGTGGATGCGCCCTGCGCGTGTATCCAAAGCTTTTGCTGTCCTGCTGTTCTTGTCGGGGAGGGGTCTGTGGGTCAGGGAGGGGTCTGTGTGGGTCAGGGAGGGGGTCTGTGGGTCAGGGAGGGGTCTGTGGGTCAGGGTCGTCTGAGGAGGAAGCAGATGAAGGGATTTGCGCACGGGAACTTTTATTTAAGATTTAAGTTTTTTTTATTTCAAAGGTCCTCATGGCTCAGCAGCAGCAGAAGCATAAATATTACTTTTAAGAAATCTGATGATAAAGTTGAATAAAAATCTAAGTTTGATTCTGAAGGTAAATTAAATATCTGACAGTGATCATTACACAGTGTGGCTCTAATTCAACACTTCATCATCTGTGTCGCAGTTTCCCGTCTCCAAAATGAGCGTACGCATGGGTCAGAGCTGGCGTGAGGCACCGCACATTTTCACGTCAAGTTTGGATTTTATAAATCACAACCTTGGCGTAAAAAGTGGCGTACGCAAGTTTCTGGGCTCAAATTGTGCGTACGCCAGTTTTATAAATCCGATCCCAGACCTCTGACATGGCTCTACTTAAGTTATTCCTGGCTACGCAGCGTCAATATCACTATTATGATCAAACAGATGACCCTCAACCAACCATCTCCCCTCCCAAAACAGAAACACAAAGCTAAAAAGTGGGAAATCAATAACATACATTAATATCGGCCCAGTTTTACATATCGGACCGATACAGATATTCTAAAAAATGACCAATATCGGCCGATACCGATATGAATGTCGATATATCGTGCATCCCTAATAAAATAGATTTTAAATAAATCAGTTATACATTTTGAATTTATGATTCAATGCAACAAAATAAATTAAAATGCAAAAGATAAAAATACTGTTTCTTTTACACTATGCAGTGTTTTCTTAACTATTTTCAGGCAACACCCCATTTACCCACCCCCCTGTGGTTGTCCGGGTCCTGTGGCTCTTTGAGCAATTTAGTCTATTTGTAAAAAAAAATCCTTATCATCTGGTTGAAAGTGAAACCTATTTATTATGAATGTTCTGAGTATAACACACAACACTGAATGCCTAAAATATCTCAGTGAGTCTTTAAGCCATGATAAATCATGTGCCAGAGGCGACAGAAAGCCCGGCCTGGTGTGTTTGGACAAACAATCAGCCCTTTGACAGACAGCAGAGAGGACATCCTAATGCCAACAAAAACACACTGTATAAAGCGAAGCCAACACAACTTTTCACGACAGAAGTAAACAATCTTTGAGTTGGGTAATAGTGATTCATTACGGCAGCCATTTCAAATTGAATTATTTTATGTTTCATTATGCTGCGTTCACACCGAACGCGATTTCAGCTTCAAAATCGCAGCCAACGCTGAAGTTTGAAGCTTGTGCACTTTGAGGTCAGATGCAGGACAGCTCTTGAAGCGCTGCACGGCAACAGCCTCCCCGCCCCTCCCTCCTCTGTCGGGCTCTGTTTAATGTCGGACGAGGAAGTGGCTTTGCTTTATTTACAGAGAGCAAGAGCATGACACGTTCATCAGATACTTAATTCATAATTAATTCACCAGATAATTCAGAGTAGAGGCTCACAGCTCGCTTTCAGAACTATTTTTCAAGTCTGATGAGTCGCTGCCACGCATTGGTGAGGATCAGGACACTGCAGGCACTCGATTTCAGCTAAAGAGCTCCGCTCCGTCTGTTTCAGGTTAGTGGACATCATTCAGTAAACTGTCCCGTTGGGAAATATGTCGCTACGTCACACAGTGGAGTCTCTCTGATTGGTTGACGCGGCGCGTCGAGCTGCAAAAGTTCAGATTTTCTAACTTCAGCGATTTGCGCCTCAGCGCGTCGAATGCTCAGATCGTTCAAACCGCTCTGCTCTAATCGCGCTTGAGGCGCCGCAGCACTTCCCGACGCTGCTTGAAGCGCGTCCACCATAGACTTTGCATGTAAACCTGCTGCTCCTGATGCTGAAATCGCGTTCGGTGTGAACGCACCATTAAAATCCATCCATTCATTAGATATTTTGCTAACACTATAGACATGCACACTGAGGCCAAAACCTTATCGTTGTTTAACCTTCAGCCTTTATAGGCAATAACGCTTATCAATTCATACATTTAGAAAATAAACTGAAACATAAATCACAGAATTACAGCACAAAATATAAATATTAATCCAACAAAAATGAAAGCAACTTTGTCCAAACTGTGACTTAGCGGTACCTTTTCTCTGAACCCAGACATCCTCTGGTCGCAGCTTGTTTAGACTGACTGATCAAGTCATCCAACTTCTTCAAAAACTCCACAGGGGTAGGGTCTGCTGTCTTTTCTCTTCCATCTTTCTGCTTTTTCTCAGAGACGTTTTCTGTGTGTCCATTCAGCAGAGAAGCACTGTCCGTGTTACCTTCTCCAGATAAGGTCACCGCATTTCTGAAGTCATCCAAATCTGACGGCACCGGGATCGACAAGGATTTCTTCAGGAATATGGAGTCATTGGTGTACAGTCGGTTTGCTCTTTTGATTTGTTCCATCTGAAAGACCAAAATAAATAAAGTAAGAAACAAAATACGCACATTGTTATTTTTCTTTCTCCAAATGATGGTTAATATGACCTTAAAGTAACTTTTTAAGGCAGAATTATGACCAAATGCTAGCCAACCTGACTGAAAATGAGTTAAAATGTATTACTTACATTTGTTTCTTTGCATAGACTAGATTGTTTGATAGTTTGATTTCATACTTTGCAATGAGTTCCTTTTTATTTTAAGTAAAGTGAAACAATAGCTACGGAATCTATATCACCAAACGAATAATAACACTTTTAAATATATATATACTTACAGACACTCCATATTTCACAGCCAGGCCCTGCAGTGTCTCTCCTGGCTGAACCGTGTGTTCAATAAATCTGTGAACCGAGGTCAGCGGGGATCGGATCAAACTCCCGTAAGACATCGATCTGCAGCCTCGGGAGAGGCCGCGTCCTCGCCCGGGTGGCAACGGAACCCGCTCTCCGGACATTTCCGAGCAACATTGGGTTCGTCCAAGTGGTGGCAGAAGTAAAACTAACTATCAAACTTCAATGTTCCTAAATGTATCCGATAAACATATTCAAGTGTCAGATTAGCAGTTAGCCTAGCTAGCGGGCTAGTTAGTCAGTGAGCGTCAACTAAATCTTTAATTATAGCTTTATCTTTTGCGAACCTGCTACGAAATTTAGAATAGACAGCATTCAAACGTGTTCAGCAGCCCAACATAAACCCGTATGATAAACCTACCTTTCTTGTACATAAACCACTTAAAAAAAGTTACTGTGAACTTGTTTTTCAATAATAATAATAACAATGCTTGCTGGTCTCGGGATTCGCCGCTGCGTTTACAACCGTCGGAATAACCCTGATTATTGTGATTAGTTGGGAAAACTTCTATCCTGTTGCAACAAAAATACTGACTGTGAAACAAATTTAATGAATTTAATTAAAATATGTAATGGGTTGGTGTTTTTATAAATATATAAAGTTATTTGATGATATTCACGCTAAATGCGACCAGCAGCTGAATATCTTTGTCATATTTTCCATTTGTTTCTGAACGCATCACTGCTAACAGGAACTAGCTTAACACTTAGCATTGTGAAGCGGAACTGACCACTATTTTGATTTTACAGTCATGTCTTTTAAACGAGAGGGAGATGACAAGAGTCAACTCAGTATTCTTAAGGTAGCGGTTTGTCGTAAATGTTCATATTATGCTTATTTAAAAAGATCTAAACTTATGTTAGTCGTTGTTTATTAGCATCCCATAATGCTCTCACTGTTGTCAACAGTGGCAAATTATGATATATTGCCATTTGTTCAAATGTCTTTTAGAAACGACGTGTGGCAGACCTACTATCCAATTTTATTCCGGATGATGAGGCTACTCTTTTGAAAAATGGAAGGTATTTTTTTTTCTTAAACCACGTTTGGACCAGAAAATTGTCAAATCTAGTAGTTTACTTACTTTGAACCTTCCTGTTGTTTGTAGATACACTTGCCTTGTGTGCTCCTACCGCCCTGTGTTTGATACAGTTGATACACTGACAGTCCACAGGCAAGGAAAGAAGCATCTAGCAGGTAACATATTTTGAGCGTAAAGCTTTTCTGTTATTACTAGTGCCTCACTGCTTCCCTGTTTATGACAAAAATAATGAGATTTAAATGACTCAGTGGCGGATCTAGGATTTTTCTGAGTAAGGGGCCGTCAAGGGGCCACAATATTCATAGAGGTGCCAAGTCTTTGTTCAACGTACTTTCACACAAATTCCCAGTATATACATTTTACACTTGTAATGTAATGTCGTTTTTTTAAAGGTACCGCTTTACAATAAGGCCCCCCTTATAGATGGCTTTTAAAGAGTTTATAAATAGGTTATTAATTAATCTGTAAACACTTTAAAAATTATTAGGAAGTGTTTATTATGCAATAATTTAAGGACAAGAAAGAGACAAAATTGTCCAGTTTCATTTATTAATGATTTATGAAGTGTGAACTTTACAAATAAATTAATAACCTATCTACAAACTCTTTATAAGCCATCTAAAAGGGGAGCTTGATTGTACTGTATAGTGGTACCAAAAATCTTGCACAGTAAATACTCCTCACCAGTTTTTCATACATTTTACTGAACATAGATAAAATATTTTCAAACACACAACATGTGAGAAAATCCAGCCATCATTTGTCAGTTGAAAGACTTCTTTGCAGGATTGTTCACATTTTAAGAAGAGAAGAATTCTGTCAGCTTGATTCATTCAGGACTTTACTATTTGACTCGTTAGCGCAACTAGTGTTTGAACATGGAACTGCATCCACCATCATCACCCCCAGGTAAAGGACAGATGAGTGACAGGACAGCGGCACTTCAGGGGGCCAATCAGATTTCAGCTGGGGCCAGTGCCCCTGTGGCCCCGCCCCTAGAACTGTCCCTGAAATGACTATATTTAAAGAGTGGGGTTTTGATGCTATTCTAAATAGTCTATAAGTAATGGTTCCCAAACTTGTCAGCTTCTGACTCACACAATAGCATCTGCAGAGACGAATAACCCTAACTGGAGAGTTCATTATTAATTATTGTTTTTTTATGTTGTGTGTATTCAGGATTAAAAGCCTTTTATGGCAAAAAAGCAAAACTCAAGAATGAAATAACAAAAAGGCAACATGAAAACTACATCCAGGCTGAAGACAGACAGGTTGGTAACTTGATCTTGTTTTCTCTATTTTCTCTATATTTTTGTACAAACATCAGCCATAACAATATGATAATACTGAATTTATACATTATAATAAGGAGGAATTCAGACCAAGCATTGCATTTCTACTTTATATAAACCCAAACTGAATGATTTAAATGTGAAAAAGAAGGTTTTAAAAGCATGATCATTTAAAAGCAGCCCTACTTCTGTCACCTGTGAATTGTTATAAGGTCAAGGTTAATTGATGCAAGTTTGAATTTTGTTGCTGTCAGCAAAATGCCAGATGGCTTTGGTTGGTTATAGCAGTTAAAGATGCAAGGAAAGGGACAGGATGTAAAAGTCAGAACATGCCTAAAGTTTTATGATGATAACATGGAGACAGTTTAATTGCCATCAAGACTAGTTAAACTGGAAACAAACCTATAAAAACTTCCTAATGTTATCTGGGGAAAATGTGTGTTAGCCGGATTTAATCATGCCACACAGCAAAGGTTGAATCATTCCTGGAAAACAACACGAGCTGAACACATTTCCTTTTTTTTAAACAACACCTTTATTTCATGTTGTTGTCTCGTTGTTTGTCCAGGCACCGTCCAGTTCAGCACCTTTACTGGAACAAACCCGGAAGCTCACTCACCACGCTTTACTGAAGACGGTCCCGTATAACAGCTGTCACAGAAAAACCAGGTGTGTGGTTGTAGGATGTAATTGGTCTTCCACATCAAGACATTCTTAAACAGTTCTGTCATTGTTTTTAAAGCACGAAACCCGAAAAAAACCAGGTTAATCCCACTGGAAACCCTTGCAACAAAATACCACCTGAACACTTGAAAGATGATGTTTCAGATCGTTTACCAACAAGCAGTTCTGTACACTGTGCAGGTAAAATGTGACACATGAAATCTTCAATGATTAGATTTATGTGAAGCCAAACTCAACAGTAATCTGGTTGCTTAAAGTTTGTTTTTGTCATTATAGAGTCTTTAACAACAGCAGACAGATTAGGATCAAAGTCTGCTGCAAACCAAGCAGAGGAACCTCTGACAGCCCAGAGGAGGATGGAGCTGGAGCATTATCTCAAACTGAAAAGGTGCAGAACAAGTTTTTGTTATGGGCAGTTGAAGCAAAACAGCAATGTCACAAATTATACCTTATTCTTTTTTTTTTTTGCATCATTTGTATTTTCTTAGTGATGGATGGGTGCGAGACCTGAACGGCCGTTGGGTTAAAGATGAGAACGTGGAGTTTGATTCAGATGAGGAGGAGCCTGCTTCACCTGCACTTCTACCTACAAATCACTGAGAGGACTATGAACTGTGAGAAAACTCACCAAATCCTGAACCACACGGGGTACGATTATAGAAACAGCCAGAACTCTGTTAGCAAAAACTTCCTTAAACAGATTGAGCAACTTTTTCATAGGTTATATTGTTATAATTTGATACATTTTCCATATTAATTTCCCTCCAGCATTATAATAGATTGTCAGTGAGAAGAGACCCAATTACACCTGTATCCACGTGTTCATCGATCACCACCAGTTTCACAAAATCATTTTATCACTATCAAAAAGAAAGTAATTTTATTTGACTGAAACCAATTTCCTGCAGAAAATATTCTGTCCTAAGTCTTCATAGTGTGAAATTAAGCGACATATGAAAAGAAACGAATGCATCCAACAGAAACATTGAATAGCTGACAGAAAATAGAGAATTTATTACATTTCAGCACGCATGGATGGTTTTGAAGACTTACCTTTTTAATTAAACTCTCATTACTCCAACTTATTGAGAGTTCACTGTCAAACTCATTGCCTATCTTTGACCCCAAAAAGAAGAAACTTGTTAAATGGAGGAAATTCAATTTTCACATACTGTATATGTTGTGTTAAAGTCTACAGCTGTAAAATCATAAATTGATGTCTTTTAAAAGGGAGTAAAACTTGAAAAGAAAAAGTGTTATTGTGTAAGAAGCAGTGTTTTCAGTAAATAAAAGAGAGTTAAAGAAATTAGTAGTGGACGGAACTCAAGCAAACAGAATCTTCATAGGTTAGCAGCTGTTTCTGTTTATACATTTTTAATGAGTGCACAAGAGTTCGACCTTCTTAAGTTAGTTTTTATATTTGGACCAAGGTAACTCAAGCCCACCGGGCAAAGTTATGTTTTGCGTCAGGGTCGAGATGGGACATAAAATAGGTCAAGTGTTTGGGGGGACCAGAAAAGACTTAAAAGAAAATGAAGTGCTGTGGGTTCCTCTGAGACGACGTCACCTAATCTTCATTGTAGAGCTTATTAAAATGGGCGTTATCGAAAATTGAATCAAATTATTGTAAATTGTTGCAAAGTTTGTTGACTTTTTTTTAACAATTCATTCAGCTTCATCTCCAGAAATACATTCATATAGGTATTTGTTTCTAAGAATGCACAGGGTGTAAAAACAACACTGAACTTGCCAAAAATGTAGAAGAAAATAGTTAAATATACACTTTTATTGAACTTATTTACAAATTTGTTGTCCGTCCCACATATAATTTAGCACCACAGTGAAATAGTTTTCATGTATCAAAAGAACGTGTTGTGTTGATGTAGGTGAAGCAAAATTAAAAAAGACCTAAATAGCACAAAAAAAGACACTTCACATTTTGCTTGTTGCCTAGGCATGCCTTTATGATGAATATAGCATGTCAAAGCTTGTTGCAGAAATAGAAATGGTTGCGATTGAGCGTTAGAAATGGTTTCCTCCGTGATTATTTTGGGATGTTCTGTTCAGCGCAGAAAGCCGGTTGACACAGGACCATCAGCGGTTTTTGCAGGTTTCCATGGAGCAGAAATAATTCTTGCTTTTGCTTCATCTCAGCCTCTGTTGGCGAACTGTAAAAAGAAACGGCATATTGTGACTTTGTATCTCTGCTCATTGATGGCTGTAAATGAGAGCCACATTTGTCCTCAAATTGTACATGCAGACGTCATTTTTAAGGTGAATCTGATTCCCTAATCCTGACCTATAATATTGATTCACCATTTCTGTTGTTTTTAGTCTGAGTATGGCAGTGCTTACTCATGTCGTTGTTTCTTGTGATAGCCATGGCGGCTCTGGCACGAGGACCTTGCTGGTTAAAGTGGTAGCCAAACTTGAGGATGCTGGAATTGTTCTCCAACATGGAAGCGATCTCCATCTCAACTGTGTCGCCAAGTTTCTGCCTCTAAACCAGAAAACAGGTTGCAGCGGGCATCTTAAAACTGATGTTTTTGGTTTTTCATACATTGTAAATGTTGGTTTGTCCAACTATAAAGTGTAGTTTCTGTTTAGGGTTATAGCTTTATTTTCCTGTTTGTTTCTTACCTGGTTGTCTATCTTAAACTCGACCAGTGTGGCGTTGTTAGCCATGGCTTTGATGATGGCCATCATGCCATCTGAAGTGATGAAGTTGGACTCGATATTAAGACTCTGCAAGCTGGTGTTCTCCTGTAGCATCTCAGCACAAGCCTGAAATCACAAGCGCACGTGATAAGACTCAATCGTTTTTCTTTCTGTATTGCTGCAATAACTTTAGCTGATTGAATAACAGGTATTAAATAAGTTATTGGAGCCCTTAAGCTCCCTTTTTATTGCCCGTTTCCATAAAAGGTAGGCGAATAATCTTAAGAACTAGACAGATTTTAATGGCAGGAAACAGTGTGTTAGAGTAAACAACACTTTGTCTTCTTTCAAAGATTGTATCATGGGAGTGCCGCAGGGTTCCATTTCAGGGCCACTGCTCTTCAGTTTGTATATTAATGATCTTCCACTGGTGTGTGAATCTAATATTATTATGTATGCAGATGACACTGTTTTATTTACCCATGGAAAAATGCTGAAGAAGTGGCTTTGAGATTAACAGAAGAACTGAAGAGTATTTCAAAGTGGTTGCAAAAGTCTAATCTCGCCTTAAATACAGGAAAGACAGTTGCAATGTTCTTTACAAATAGAAGGAAAATTATGAGTTATCCAGATATTTATATAAACGGGGGAAAAACTAAAAATGTTAATAAGTTTACTTACCTAGGTGTGACCTTAGATCCAACTTTAACCTTTAAAAATCATGTCAAAAACTTAGAAATCCTTAACATATAGCCTAGTTAATTTTAGGTATATATGTGGCTCTCTAACTACTGAGGCATCCCATATTTACCTGAGTTCTATGATTTTTTTCACGTCTTTTATATTGTATAAGTAGTTGGTCACAGGCATGCAAAACAAYGTTGAAACCTCTTGAATCGATATATAAAAATGCTTTAAAGATTCACGACAAGAAATCTAGACAATATCATCACTGTCATATTCTCTCAAAATATGATTTCTTTTAACTTAGAGCATTTGATATTTTATGCAAACATTTGTTTAGTTTACAAAATTCTTCACAATATTGCTGCTCCACCTTTAAGAAAGTTTGACTCTTTGAGATCAGAAAACATGACTAGAATCACAAAGGTGACCTCTAGAGGTGAGTGCAACATCCCAAAATGTAGGACTGCTTTTAATAAAACTTCTTTCTCCTTTGTCGCCAGAAGTCACTGGAATAGCTTGCCAAAGAACATTATAACATTTTCCACTTATAAAATGTTTGCACATTTGGCAAAAACATGGCTGTTAAATAAGCAGATTTGTACTCATAACTGATGAAAGTAAGGAGAATGGGCCTCATGCAAGAACATGTTCGTATTCTTATCCTAAATTTCTCTTACTTTTGTTCGTACAAAGGGTTCATATGAACATGTTACGTCAGATTCAACAAACTCTTCTATCTTCAGGAAAAGTGCGTAAATGAGCTGCGTAAATTCCACCTGTTTGTTTCCAGCTGCTCGTGCACGCGAGAGGAGATTAGCATAATTACCACCCCAAAAACACCATGTAAGGCTATGTTTCCTGCCTCAGATACAAGGAAGTGTCCATTCATAAAAAATGACAGCGAAAACTAAA